TGGCACTATTAGATTCAATAGAATACATCACAAATTCCATAGACAAAAAGCAATATGTGGCTGGATAATTCATAGATTTAAGCATTTGACACAATAGATCAGGATATATTAGTAAGAAAACTGTAACATTATAGTGTCGGGGGGTAGTTTTAAATTGGGTTGGGAGTTATTTAAGAGACAGGAAGCAGTTTGTGAAATTAAATGGTTATTGCTCTGTATACATGGACATTGCTTGTGGTGTACCCCAGGGGTCAGTTTTGGGCCCTAGATTCTTTAATTTATCAATGACATGTGTGAAGTGTCCAGAGTGTTAAAATTGTACAGTTCCTGATGATATAAACATTTTCTGCACTGGTGAGGATCTGCTGCATTTATTTGATGAGGTAACTAATGAAATAATTAAATTAAAGCTTGGGCATGATTAAAAACAAATTACTATTACATTTGAATAAAACTACCTAATAAAACTGTTCTTTGGAAAGAGCAGATTAAGTATAAATGTAAAAACTCAAATAAATGGTGTTCATTTTGAAAGAGTCAATATAATAGATTTCTTGGGGTAATAATAGATGAGAGACTTAATTGGAGAGCACAGATAAGATATATTCATTCCAAAGTATCAAGAAACATTGCAATACTGAACAAAACAAAGGAGGCATTAGACTGTATCATTCCATATTCTATAAGCTGTTGTGCAGAGATCTCGGGCAATAACTATGAAAGTACATTAGATTCACTTTTTATTCTTCAAAAAAAAGCAGTTCAGAACTACCAGGTGACATTCAACACATGTTTTTTCTTTTTGTTTTTTGAGACAAGGAAGCTATAATTTAATGGATTTCTTCTTGAAAGCTGTGAGTTTGTGTAATACCAGGAACAAAAAAACAACAAGTTTTTGTTTTTCTATGCATGGAGTGAAACTGTGGAACAATTTGAGTGTGGAGTTGGCCAAACACAAAGCAGTTCAAAGAGAGTTATAAAGATATGATTTTATATTTGTATAATTAACTTTTCAAAACTGGAAGTATTGGCTTTGTTGTGTGGAGGCTTATAGAGCTACAAAAACATAATGCTCTGATAATTTGTACTGTATGTGTCATAGACGTTATATTAGAAATATTTTCATTGTTATTACTGCGGTTTGTATCAGTAAGGAAGCTAAAAAAAATATTAACTGATAACTTATGGCGAGGAGGTGGGATTAAATAAGTGTGCACTTCTTCCCATTCCTTTTTAATATGTAAGTGAATCAGAACAGGTGAAGCAATATTGAAATGTATTTTGTTTTATTTTGTATAGTACTTTTTTCTTTTCCTTGCTAAATGAACTCCTGTATATTTGTAGAAGATTTGAAATAAATTGAACACAAGTGTGACCAGTGTTAACAGAACAAAATACACAGAACAGTAACGCACAATTCAGGTATGTGAAGGACAGATTAGTGTGATTTCTCTTTTTTAATTTAAATTTTTACATTTAAAAAACAAACAAACTGCTGTATCCAAAGAAAAATCCCACATCTGGGACAAACAGTATAGTAAAGTAAACATATTGCATCTTAATTCGTTAATGGTTTTTTTTACTGCCTTCCATTTCAAGCACCTGTTACATGTCACGAGAGGAATCTAGAAGTAGTCAGGTTTTGTGAC